GGGTAGGTGTGAAATAAAGCTTATTTTCGTATATTTTATACTTCCATCCTTCAAGTCTCTCTTTTTGAGACAATAAGCTTCTATTGTTGACTTCACTTGCATTTGCTAAGCATCTTCTAAGAAATACATCCTGCAATTGCCTAGCTAGTGCCTATTTAAGTTGTTTCCTCTCCTTAGTTTGCTCATCAACATTTTCAACTCCTCGCATCAGAAAATTGAACCTGCTGCCACTTCTAATAATTTGCTTTGCCTCGGCTCAAGTTGGTTATTAGTGTCTAACTTTGCCTACTTCTTCCGCTACATGTAAGTCCACTAGTATCTACCCATATCATCAAGATTTTGTTTAGTTTTTCTTTGATATATACTTCAATGTTTCTTATTAAATAATTCATGACCATATTATTAGATTTAGTTTATATTTGCTTCACACTTTTCAGATTCTCTTTATAATCGATACTTTATTTGAAATGTCTGTCTGTATTTTTTTTTAATAGTCATTGGTCACTTTAAATAAATTAATATATTAGTGTTTATTTTTAGCCAGTGATTATAATTAAATCATATTTTTTTTAAGAAATATATATGAACCTTTCTTATAAGAAAGAGTAAGTTTATAATTGTAATTAAGCAGATCTACTATATACTACTTTTTAATTTTTTGAACTTAATTTGTTTTTTAATGTCTACTTTTTTTAACATCCTCCTCTAGACCTATAGTAAAAAACGTAATTTCGTCCATTATGTTTGCTTTAAAGTATAATATGAAAAAACGTGTTCATTCTTTTTTTTTTTTTTTTGGTAATAAATTAATTGGCTGTTGTGTTCATTCTTTTTTTGAACATAGAGAATCACTAGGAAAAAAATTATTTTTAAGTAATTAATAAAAATTAAATTTTTAATTGAATTAATTAAATATTAACATATTTTAAGAACAAACTATTAAGGTTGAACGTGATTCTAAAAAACATGTTCATTTTATACCCAAAGAAATAAATAAATTTCTAATGCATGCTAACAAGTAACAAAATTTACTTTAATGATAGGACATTTCTCGATGATTGTGCAACTCAATCACAATTCTGTGGCATTTGTACCTTCCTGGAAATATTCCATTTTTCTCTCTCATCGACCTCCCCACTACATTAAGGGTTTTCTATTGTTGGTAATGGAAAATTTTACAGATAGTTTAGTTAAATTTTCAAACAAAATTTTAGTTTGATACATAAAATAATCAGTCCGATAATAAGAGTAATAAGAAGCATAAAAAATAAAATAGAAATAAAATCACGTGAGTGAGAGAGTAAGGAATCCGTGGGAGAGAAAGAACTCTAAGTAGAGAGATAAATATAACTAGCATCACAAAAGAAGTAGATAAAAACCAGGAAAAAAAAAATTTTTTTTAACAAGATTCAAACGTGATTCGATTTTAAATTAATTAAAATTTAATATGATTATTAAATATCAAATGGTTAATACAAAAAAAATCATAAATTGAGAAAATATAATTGATTATTTTAAATTAATAATAGACTAATAAAATAGAGTTTTTTCTTAAAATTATTTTTACATACATAAATTATATATGATAAGTTGAATTTTTATATATATTATTGTGTTAATTTTTCCTTTTGAAAGAAGTCGGAAATATTAGGATTGAGTGCAGAAGAATAATTTGTAAAAGAGAAAGATGAAGCCAAGGACCCAGATGAATAAATAAAACGTATAAAGATCAAAGTGCAGAAAAAGTAAAAGTTGAGAGACCAGCAAAGTTTTACCCATGAAAAAAAATATTGCTTTTTAGTCCAGAATCCCGAGACGGATACTCTTTTTGTAGATTGATGTGCGGTACAGAGTCACCAGACAGATGTTATTAAGGTGTTCACACTCTCTGATTTTCTGCATATATTCACACAAAATTCTAAATTATCTTGGCATCAGTCCCACTGCTCTTTTAAGGTATCTTTAAGTCCTTTAAATGCTTATTTATTTTAATCGATTGATTTTTTACTATCGATTTAAACCTCAATTTTTTAAGTAATTTTGATAAAATTTAAAGAATATATAAATAATGTTAATCTTTCTCAAATAATTTCCACCGTCCAATATAAAAAAATTAAAAACCTTGTGCTTCAATTTTTTTTACAAAAACTTGAAGGTCAGTAATTTAATTTAAAATATTTGTATGAGTTTGATGTGAAATAATGTTTATTTTCATGTATTTTATACTTCTGTCTTTCAAATCTTTCTTTTTGATACAATAAGATTCTTGCGTTGAATTTACTGACATTTGCCAAGCATCTTCCAGGAAATGCAGCCTGCTATTGCCTAGTGCCTATTTAAGTTGTTTCTTCCGCTTAGTTGGCTCATCAACTCCTCGCATCAGAAAGTGAACCTGCCGCTACTCCTAACAATTTGCTTTGCAAGGTCCAAGTTGGTTGTCAGTCTCCAACTTTATCTATTTCTTCTGCTGATCTTGCATTGTAAGTACACTTTTTATACCAACAAGAGGTTAGATCAAATAGTAAGCGGCTTGTTTCAATTTAAACAAGATCTTAAATTTGAGACATTGTGTACGCAGCAGCCCCGCTGAGAGACTCACCCATCATTTCCAGGTGCGCGACGTGAGTCAAGTCCGAATTAGTCGAGGTGAAGCCCTGTATACCATGCGAAAAACCAAAAAAAAAAAAGTACACTTTCTATATCTTCAAGATTCTTTTTATTTTTTCTTTAATATATATCTCAATAGATTTTTATTGGTTGCTTTTGGAATTATTACTTTGAAAACTTTGATCTACTATAAATCAAATTTAACTAAAAACATTTTTTAATAAGAATTGCATTTAAAAAATGTAATTTAAGAATAGAAAAATTAAAGGTATATTTTTTAGTTTAATATATTTTTAATATTTATTTATTT